AGGGGGAGGAGGAGGAGGAGGAGGAATTAAAACTTAGGACTATTGCACAAATTGTATCAGTTAATGTTTTCTGTGAAAACATAACAGTAGCCATGTAACCCTGTTTTGGGAGAAAATAGTAGTAGAGCATTGTAAAGGTATTTCACTGTCTGTTGACCCTTATAAGTAGATTCGAAGAGAAGAATTAGAAATGGAAGGAAGTAATATTTTCAAAAGGTAATTTTGTTTCATACAGAAAAAGAAATTAAGAATTTTAAATCTCTCCTATTTTTCCTAACTTACAGATAAATTCCTCTCAGAGATACAAAAACCATATGAAACTGTAAATCATAGTACTATTTGACTGTAGTTCATACAGAACAGTGGTAGCAGAATTATTCTCCATTGCCTACTTCAATGGCAGAAATGGAGATACACGGGGTCCTCTCATAGCCACTGCAACAATTGTGGTGTCATTTTTATCAAAGTGCTGAAGTGTCACTTAATACCAATTCTGGTTTGATAATGTTGAAATGGAAAAGCTAATGTAGTAAAAAAGCAAAGTATACTAATACTTGATTATTTCTAATGATCTAAAAAGCAATAAAAATAGGCATAGAATCATGAAAAGAAATTGAAACATATTTTCTACAACTTTTGGGGGTTTAGAAAAGCATGTGAACATGTCCAAAATACCATACTCATAAGAAAATGCATCAAACATGAGTTGCTAATCACTGTAACTTAAATTTGCTTTTGCAATGTACTCTTGGCTCATCTATTGACTATGACCTGTGTGAAGTCTAGCTTTTTTTTTCTTTTTGCTTATGTGGTGCTGGGGAATCGAACCCAGGGCCTCATGTATGCAAGGCAAGCGCTCTACCACTGAGCTACCTTTCCAGCCCAAAGTCTAGCTTTTTTGTCACAGAACAAGTTCTACAAATATTAAAAACTACACTGTAGTACTTGTACTGGATTTGTGAAAGTATCACCTGTTAGTGAACTTAATTAAGCATAAACAAAGTACATACGTTAGTGAGAAGTTCATATCTTTCTTTAGGCTGCTACATGACATTATAGTTGATAACTTCATAATATTCAAACCCCTTCTGATGTCTTTTCTACAGTAAGAGAAATACTGTAGGTTAAATTGACTTGATTTGGGCAGTCAATAATGCTTTCTTCCTAGCTTAGCTATGGGTGTGGATAACAAACTGCCATCATTCAAAACATTGTGAAAAACATGTTCTGGTTGATTAATGCTATAAAAAGAATGTTTTCAATTTCATAATCCTACTTTGTTTAAACATATAAAATTAAACTTCTAGCTAGCAGATATTTATGTGATATTCACATATGATACATTGGCACAACAAATATGCTTAAACACCAATTTATTTTTATACTACACATGTTTTGAGGAAATCAGTTAAAAATTACCAATACTTAATATTGGTAAAGAGTTTTAGTTTTGCTTGTTGCTTATTCTTAGGCTATTATCATAATCCAGAGACTTTAACACAGTGATATACACATGTGGCACTTGGCATTCTCTCTCTTGTTCCACGGTGTCCATCTTTCTGCCATTCTCTCTTCTTTCCAAACCTTGACTATTTTCAAGAATCACCAACTTGAGGAAGTTGATCCTCCCTGGTTAGGTTAAATATTCCTTTTACTTATATCTTTTATGTATCACTTTTTGCATGGCTTTAGGTACATTGTTTTATAATTTATTTTTCTCCCAAGACTGTAAGCTCCCTAATGCAGGTAATAGTCCTTCACTTATCCATCTCCAGTATCTACTACAGTACTTGAGCATAGCAGATGCAAAGTTTTTGTTGACTGATTCTGTAAATTAAAGACTAAGAAGCTATTAAAGAAACAGGTAAGAAAGTTAATAATGTATTTATTAGATTGTAATAGTAAAGAAAATGTAATAATTCATTATTGTGTTATACCCTTCATATGTAAGATTATTATGTCTATTTTTTGTGTTAGGTATTTACTGTTGGCAGAATTTGTGCCAACCGCACCGACATTTATCATAAACTGAAACATTTTAAATTCAAGCTGTACCAAGAATGTTGCTTCCTGGCAAATACAGAAGAAGTTGAGGATGAACAGGTTAAAGAAACCGTGGAAAGAATTTTCAGTCAGTCAGAAGAAAGTGGCTGGATTAAAGAGGTAAAACCAAAGAACCACCTCCTTCTGTGGACCCCGGAGCCTAGTTAGCAGAGGGACACAAGTGAATATGCAACAGTGACATGCCAGGGTCTCCTTTCTTGTTTTTGAACTTTCCCTCTTCCACTCATTCCTTTCATGCTTACTATTGTCTAACCCTGAACTATAGATAAAATACTGTTCTTCTGTGCCTTTTCAATTACACAAGGTCCTTACACATATATGAAGTCCCCTGATTATCTTTGACAACATGTGGGATTTGTGTCCACTTTACAACAGTTCTTACAACCTGAGAGGGCAGAAGCACCTGGTACCACTGAGGACAGGATCTCACTGCCAGTTCAGATGCCACCCACATCCTCTCCTGGGAGCATGGGCTGAGCAGTGAGGAGAACTAACTGAAGATCAACTGGCAGCTCATAAGCTCTGGTCTGCTCACAGAGCTTTTACAGATGTCTATGGTGTATGCCAAGAATGCTAATAGGATGGCAGTTTCTAAAATGAGGCTAGCTTAATGGATCCATAAGAGACAAGTCATAGATATTTGAGCAACTTAGGTATTTAATCTTTAAAAAGGAAAGGAAAACCTCATCTGAGAGCCCATGCTTCACTTCTATCTCATAGGGAAATGTGTAGAAGAGGAGGAGAAAAGGCAAGAGAGTTTAGCAGATACTCTCCGAGGAATGGGAAGAAAGAACAGTTCACCTGGGACGGCTAACCCGCACCTGTGTGTGCAGCCAGGCCTCCTGGGAGAGAGGAGGGCACAACTTTAAGCAGTTGTCTTGTCACCTCCCACCACCACTGGTGGTTTGGTCTGCTCATGGCATCTCAACCCCCTAGTCTTTCTCTAGTCTTTTTCTCTAGTGTCGTTTGCTTTGCTTCCACTTCTCTGATTCCGAATGCTCGATCCTCCCCACCCCCACTTCTCTGTGCCTTTACATTTGCCTTAGGGAAGAGCTATCCACTTTTCCAGTAGCTCTGTCTTCATTTTCTTAGTTGTTGAATTCATAAGTGCTTTTATTGATGCCATTAAGAACTGCCAACCCTCTAATGGAATTAGAAAACATATTGCTATATTACATTTGTAAATTTGCTTTGTTTCCCAATGCCAAATTGAACTCAGGGCTAAGTAAGTATGATGCCACCGAGCTGCACCCCAGCCTGGTAAGCCACATTTATCAAGGATAGAGTGATACATGTGGAAAAAAGACTATGCATAATTTACATAGTATTACTATTATATATAGGAAACATTAAACTTCTTGAAGGAAAAAACAAAAGGCATTTCTGAATCATGTACTTTAAAGAAAGCTTAACAAGGTTAGGGACAATAGCTGGGATCTGAAATAACAAAAATATTCCTGAGCGAACACAGGTAAATGCCAGGAACGTTGCATTCACTAAACATTAAGCAGTGAAGGCACATCACAGCATATATGTGTAAAGTATTGTGTACATTCTTTCACAAAAATAAGAGCTTTGTTTTCTGAGATTCCTCTCACTTTAAAAACTAAGCAGATGACTTGCTTAAACTCGTTCCTAGAAACCATGAAATTTATATCTACCATAAGCCTATAAGGACTGTGATGGATCTCAAACTTTGTCCCACAGTGTCTGACATCCTCACCCTCACTGTCTCTGCGTCTCTGATGAGCCCTGAAGTAACGGCACGTAGGCTGCCTGAGCTCCTGATGCAGGCTGGTTTCCTGGCTGCGGTCAGGTGGCCATGGTGACCCCTGCAGAGTCCCCTGGTCATGCCTGGGCTCTGGCATCTGAATGCACCTCTCAGCTATGTCAAACCCTCTCTGCCTCACACAGATCATTTGTGCTTGTCTTTCTGCTCTCAGCTTGTTCTTGACATTTTGCTTTTTCCTTTACCTTTACTGAGCATTTCCCTGTACTATCGCGTAGTATCTCAGCTACCTTCCCTCAAACCTGCCAAGCAGGCTTCATTTTTGTTCTTCCTTCTATTCACTGAACTAGGTTTTCATGTTTTTAATCTAATTGCATTAAAGGAATATAGAATCACTCGAATATAAGAAAGAACAAGTGAGCCAGGCACTGATGGGTCATGCCTGTAATCCTAGCTACTCAGGAGAATGAGATCCTAGGGTCACAGTTTGAAGCGAGCCCAAGCAGGAAAGTCTGTGACACCCTTATCTCCAGTAAACTAGCAAAAAGCCAGAAGTGGAGCTGTGGCTCAAATGGCAGAGCAGTAGCCTTGAGAAAAAAAAAACTCAGGGATATTCCCTAGGCCCTGAATTCAAGCTCCAGGGAGGCATGCGCGCGCACACACACACAGAAAAACAATAGGAGAATTGTAATAAAATTGAAATATAGAAGACATATACTATGTATCTTATTCTAAAATACCTTTGGAAACATGCTAACAAATGTTTTCATTAAGGAGAAAGTAGAAGGCTGGAGGCACAGCTCATGTGGTGGAGTGTTTAACTAACAAGTCCAGAGCCCTGAGTTCCAAAGGAAAAAGAAAGAGAAAAATAAGCAGATGGAGTCCTGGCAGTTGAAGAAAGATTATTGGTACTGGAAAGAGGAGAAGGAGGAGGACAAAAGTTCCTATGGACTAGGGACACATGAAACCAGAAGTGAAGAAAACTCCAACAGAAGCACCCAAGTTGGCTTACAATTGTGTTTGAATACATTTTAAGCACATTTCTACACAAATAAGGACTTTACATTGTAATCAGAAACCTATCCTTTTCCTTAGTCTTCTAATTTCTTCACTCGAAACGTCTTTTCCCTTTTTTCCTTACCTTCAATTGATGTTTCTCAAAACCTTGCCCTTAACTATCAGAACTACCTAGAAGCTTGTCAAAGAAGAAACATAAATATATAGGGCATTATTCACCAATGAAGACATTGATTTTATTTTTTGGTTGGTTGTGGGGCTTGAACTCAGGGCCTGAGTGCTGTCCCAGAGCTCTTTTGCTCAAGGCTAGCACTCTACCACTTTGAGCCACAGTGTCACTTCTGTTTTTTTAGTTAATTGGAAATGAGTCTCATGGACTTTCCTGCCTGGGCAGGATTTGAACCATGATCCTCAGATCTCAGCCTCCTGAGTAACTAGGATTATAGGTGTGAGCCACATGTGCCCGTGATTGATTCGTTGGTGAAGCAGATATGAGAACCGCAGCTTAATGGCACCTGTTGCACTAGGTTTTGACCCCTTTTTCAGGATTCCTTTGTGGGTCCAGTCTGCTACCTCAGACTAGAGACTCCTGATTCCTTTTATGTTCTGACTGCTTTCTCACACTGCATTCCCATAATCTCAGCTATTTTTATCAGTAGGTCCATCTGGTAAGGGATAATCTTCATTATTAAAATAAGACCTAAACTACCTTAATGTCTATGAAGAACTATGGGAGCTGCGACTTTAGGCAGAGAAAAATGGCAGAGTAATGCTAACTGCCTTTTGTGTTTTACTTTCCCTTTTGTGGTTTTTTTTTTCTCACCAAAGCTATCACCCCTCCTACCCTTTAGAAATGGTGTGCTATAAGGTATAAGTATGCATTCACATATGTGCGCTGCAAAGTTGTCTCCCTCCTACCCTTTAAAACACAGAGTGTATGCTGTAATGTAAAAGCATCTGTTCATGTATGTGTGCTACCACTTTCTAGTAGTAGAATTTGGAGGCAATTAAATTATTTTTCTAAATCTTATCTGTAAATGTGAACTAAATATTAATTAGGTTTTGGTTGTGGAGATAAAATAAATAATACACTTCAGGCATTTTAGTATAGGACCTTGAATTAGAAAGTTGCCAATTAATGTTGGCTATTATTTGTAATAACGCTGAGAGATTTAACTTCCAATAGATTTTCATTTTCCAAAATGAACTTAATAAATGAGAAAAACAATGTAAATATTACGATACAAGAGCATAAAGCACTCAAACTTTTAAAGTCTGGGTTTCTAGTCCTAAAGCACTTTCCTGATATCTAATGAAACCTTTCTGCATCTAGGCTAGGGAATGCTCTAAGTAGTCTCTGACATGGGTTGGAATCTTAAGATCTTGAGAATATACAAAAGGGTTTTATGGCCTTGCCTAGAGAGAAAACACACCCCTTCTGTGTCCCTGTCATCACGAAATTCTTGGTCATTGAGATCTTCTATTTCTTGGGAATAGACCCCCAGAATTCACGAGTCAAGAAACCATTAGAGCATTTAATCTCAATGTAAGTAAGCACTTTGAACTCTGTATGTCCCAAACAGAACTCACTGTATCTTTTTTGCTTCTCCAGTCTTCCTGTGGAAAAACCCTGAGGTTTTCTACCTACTCACCTTGAAATCTCTGTGTCACCCTTGAATCCTTAGCTTGTTCTACCTCGTTCGTTATCCTTCATCTTCCTTGTCGTCATTCAAATTTGGCACTTGGCATTTAAGCCATCCTAGGCAACAGGACAGCTCAATTTATTGCCCTAGGTTCTATAATTAGTTGCTAAGTCTATTATTTTGTTCTTTCCCTTGTGTGTGAGGGGAGGGGTGGGGCCAGCGGAAGTGGTGGTGCCAGGGTTTAAATTGAGGGCCTCACACATCCTGTAGTTTGCTTAATACTTTCCTCAGATCATATTAGTTACTTACCGTATCAAAGTATCTCATTACTTTGAAGTATCTCATTATTTGTCAAATCACTGCTCACCTCGTTAGCCTAGCATCTCATGCTTTCATACCTGGTGTCGTTGGTGTGACCTAACTTTTCTCTAGGAGAACTCAACTTCCCAGATTCATACATCCCTGGCATGTCAATGTTGATGAACTGTTTTATGCAGAAATCTTCGGCACTAATGTTTTGCCTACCAAATCTTGTTGCTCAGAACCCTTTAAAAGCCAGTTTTTCCTGGTCTCAACTACTTGTGGCTCCTCTTCTGAACTCTTTTTCAAAGTTACTGCATTTGTACATAAGGATGGTACTGGAAAATTATCACCTTAAGACAGTCATGAAATGAATAATAGTACTGTTTGATTTCTTTCCAATGCTGTGACTTAGAAATCCTTATTTGAAATTTAGCTCCTAATCATTTAAATAAAATGAATTTTATTACAAACATGAAATAGATTTGTTCCTGTTTGTATATGTAGTTTTGGAAAGGCTAATTTATCTTCACTGTTTTAAGTCAAATAACAAGCTTTTCTATTGTATGTGCAGAAATATGGTCAACTTCAGAACTATCTCGATTTTGCGGATAACTTTCAAGATGAGAAGTTTGAGTTGTAGCCCATTTCCTTTGAAGAAGATTTTATACTTTCCTGTAAATATGAAGATCATGGGTGTTGTTTCTCTGTATCATGTGACATTTATATATTTTATGTGTATCTTCATGGCAAAATATTTGCTCATGTAAAGTCCAAGAGAGATGGCCACTCTCCAGTCTAATAAAACTTATCTGCTGTACATGAAAAGTTACATAGCAATGCCTCTATAAGACACGACTATCAAATGAATGTGTTTATGCCCTTTAAATTTTGGAAAAATATATTGTAACAAAAATATAATTAAACTAACATCTATATGTATTTATTACTGAATCCCTGTCCACATCTGTGTATTATCTTTTGGCAATATTAAATAAACTCCTCTAATTTTGTTTGTCTACTGTCATCTAAATCAGTGAGCCATGGAAGAAACCTCAGTGTGTCATTCAGTCCAGCGACCTGGCCATAGAGTCTGGCCGTTGGTTAGCTTCTTGCTCTCAGCCTTCAAGTAAGATTACCGGCCTGAGCCACTAGCTGTAATAACACCTGATTAAATGTAATTTTTTATGCCAAGATTGGAATGTGGTTGTCTTTTTTTTCCCGCCTTCATCTTTGACACTGAACATTAAACCCAGGGCCTCTTATATGCTAGTCAAGTGTTTTCCTTGACCCATACCCCAGCCCTTTTTTGTTGTTTTTGAGAGACTCTTACTAAATGTGCCAAAGCTGATCTTGAACTCTTGATCTTCCTAAATAGCTGGCAAAATCTGAACTTTTTGAGAGGTGACATGCATTTTAGAGCATGTTGGATTTTTGTAATAAGGATGTTCAGCTGGTGAAGTCTGTTAATTTTCCAAAACCTGAAACACTCCAAAATCTGAAACATTTTTAATGCCTGTATTCTGTCTGAGTATAGTTATTACTGTTTCCAAGCTAACACTCCAGATTGTGGGATATAGGTAAAAGCAGGCCAGACTATGGCAGATTAAACTGTGAACACAGGTAATCTTGAAGTGTGCCCATTGATTTAGTTCATTCTCATCTATAGTTCCTTTTGAAGCAGGGTCATGTTACCAAAATATTAGAGTTGATTTAAATTAATAAAACTCCATTGATGGAGTCCAAATGACTTCCAAATTAGAATGTCAGGCTTATTTTTGGTTCAGACTTATATTCACCTCAGTTTATGTTCCATAATTGATCATGACAGGCAGAACTGTGTTGTTGACATGAAATTTGTTTCAGGAAGGATCATCAGTAGGGGGTTAAATATTTGCATGAGAGATATTTGATTTGTGTTGTTATTAAACTTCTTTATTACATAGAAAACCAAACACCTTGATAACAACCTTGCATTTGGTTTTGTCATAGATGATTGAATTTCAAAGTCTTTTTTTTTCCTTCTAGCAATACCATCCTCATAAAGTATTTTATTTTCCCTACTGGATTGCTTGTGACTGCCAAAGACACTTAGGAAGGCAGGTATGGTACCTTCAGTAGACAGCACTTATTTCTCCTCTTTCACAGCTCTCGAGGACTAACCCACCAAGCTCCTTACCGTACTAATGAGCACTTCCCAGTGTGAACCCAGCTAGTGTGCTCAGTGGTGTCATTCACTACATATTGAAAAATGAGCATCCTGTCCTCAGGGGGGCTGTGATGCAGGCCTGGAAGGGAAAATACATCCCCTGGCTGGGAATTTCTTAGCCTTTTAGAGCTGGTGAAATGGTTGCATAGAGGTTGGGGAATTTCCCCAGTCTTCCCCTCGAGACCAAGGCCAGGCTGAGGTGAGCGGGTGGTTGAGAGGCACAGGCTTTGGGATTCGCCTCCTGGCCACTGGGAGGCCCTCTGCCTTCCTCTTTCCGCAGGCCTGGCAGATTACTCACTCAGAGCAGTGGCACCAGCCTTCCACCAGGGAGCCTGGAGCACCCCCCCCATCTGCAGCTTGCTGGCTCGCTCTCTCCCTCTCCCTCTCCCTCTGTCTCTCTCCCTCTCTCGCCCCCTCTCCCTCTCCCTTTCCTATCGGAGCACAATGAAAGCCAGTGTATTGCTGTGACTTCGGGCGGCAGCCAGTGTCAGCAAAGCGCCTAACAACAGCCGAGAAAGAGAAAGGAAAATACAAGCTACTTTTTTTTTTCCTTTTCCATTTATAAAGCGGAGCATTACAAGAGATAGAATCACATTGCTGATTGCGAGTCCAGACCCTCACAACCACTGGCCGGGATGGAGTGTACAAAAGTGGACAGAAAAGTGGCTGGACAGGACTCCGGGCAATTTGCTGGAAGTTTGTAAGTTTGACCATCTTTTGTAAATTACTCTCAGAAGAGTTTGTCTCTCTTGCTACTGTGTTAGAATAGAGCTGGGGATAAGAAATAAGAATCTCAAGCAGGAAAGAAAAAAAAAATATGTGTTGACGGCTCTCTCTCAGTGGTTCACCACTTCAGATTGCTTTCCTTTGAGGCCAGAAACCTTAGAGGAATGAGAATTTTTACCGGTGATTGGATTAGCTGAGGGGGGGGAAAGCTTGGTGCCAAAGTCCAATTCCTGACAGTGCTGAGGACGGAGGGCTGTCTCCTGTTAGAAGACAACGTTCTACAGAGCCCGCGGAGGAGAGGAGCTGGGGGAGGAGGAAACTCAAACGCCGAGGGCAGCTCCTGCATGTTGCATATTTTGAACACTGATTGGAAAAAGAAAAATTCTGAAGCGCCACGGTTTGGTTTAGCCTGAGGAAAAGTGGGGACCGGCTGCTGGTTCCAAGGACCAGCCCAGCCCAGCCACAAAGCGGCGGGCGAGGGCGCGCTGGCCCCTCGGGGCTCGGGGTCCCCGTGAGGTCTTGAACCGACCCCCGACCCCGGGCTTGGCCAGGCCCCTGCTGGCCCCCCGGCCTGGCCCCCCGGAAGGCCCAACTCTGCCCACCTCCTCCGGGGCTGCCAGGTGCCTCAGAGTAAGTTCCAGCTCACCTGGCGCGCGGCTGCTGCGCCTTCTCCAGCTTCCGCAGACTCCGTCCATGTAGCCCTGCTGCGCCCACCCTGTCCGCCCAGAGCCGCGGGCACCAGGCGCAGGAGCCCGGCGCGATG